TATATATATATATATAATTATATATAATTGGTTATAATAATTGCAAAACTTACTGCTGGCTTAAATTATCGAAAATTTAAAAAATGATTTAATGTACTTCATGCATTCTTTTGACTTCACATACGTTAAGTATTAAATTTTATATGTGCATTAATTATAGTTAATTATTCAACGAATGTTATGTAAATATAAATGTAAAACGCTCGTACAAATATCAATTATCGCTAAGACTGTTTATTATGATCGACACACTGAAATTGTATCGATGCTTGCTCGAATTAAATTTATATTATTGAAAAAACAAAAAAAACACAAGAGAAAATATTGCAATCATTATAACTTTAAATTTGATTGTTGCTATTTTACTTGAGATAATAACTGCAAATAATTAGCGCATTTTAATAATTTTGATTTTAAAAGAGCAATTTAAAAATTCATCATAATGAATGGCCTTACAAAAATTATTGCTTGATACATAAGACTGAATACATGATTCTATATATTGATTCTATTATATAAATATAGAATAAAGTAAGTTAAAGTTTTAATTTAAGTATATCTAATATTGTCAATCTAGTAACATATAACATAATATTATACAATGTACTTAATTCTGAAATAAGATTTATTATTTTTAATATATTTTTTTATTATAATGAGGAAAAATATATACTGGGTTAGTCTACTAAACCGATACTAAGTCGATATACCGTTATTTTACTTATAATAAATATTTTTAAGATACTTATTTGAGTTGCATTATCAGACTTAGCATTTTTTTGTCATATATTTGCATAATTGAAATAACATTAGAATTACTTGTAATATTAAGTGCAAGAAATAGATTATTAATATTCTTGAATGCCAAGCATATATAAATGTTTATATCTTTAATACAATCCTGATAAATCTCTTTCTTTCTTTCTCGACAATAGAAAATATATCTAAAGACTACTAAATCTATATCTATTATCTATATTAAGTCATGCAGAGTAAAATTGCTATTTTAGTTACAAAGTTTAGTTTATAGTTCAATTTATAGTTACAAAGAATAAAAAAATTAAAAAACGTCAATACGGTATTTTACATCAGAATACGATCATATAAAAATTGTCAAATGAAAAAAGCATTTAAAAAAAAATTGCTTATATCATTTCAAAAATATTTTCAGATTTTTAATGTTTAAAGAAACAGTGTTTTTTAAATTTGTTAAAATAAATTTCCAATTATTTCCAATAATTTAAACTGTATACAAAATATAGTACTCACTTTTAACAGCCATGTTAACACTGATTCACGGTACGGTACAAAACCTTGCTTACGATTGTTTGTATTCTCTGTGAGTGAGGCGATTACCTTTCCCAAAGTGAGTAAAGACTTATTAATAGATACACCTTCCTGTTGAACAAACATCATTCAATATTATTAATTATTCAATGCATATTTTGAAAAAACTAGCACAAATAACAAATAATACAAACCCTTAATCTGTCCCCGGTAGCAGAAGTTTGGCTCAATCGCTCACTACCAGCTAAGTCAACCAAATTGATTTTACTACGACGATTAGCATCGAGTGGCTCGCAATCCAATTGATTGTCCAAACGCGTCTGAGTTAATATAATACTAAAAATGCTATGAGATCGTGAACTCTTCTCGTTCATACCAGTCGCAGCGGTAGCTCTCTGTGAGTTGCCCACTTTAAGCCAAGCCTAAAAAAGATTATATTAACGGGAAGATAAATTTACAGTTAAAAAATTATAATTATATTTTATCATTACAAAACTCTAAAAGTACCTGCAAGTCCTTGTAATTTTGTACACAATGCTGGCTTAAATCTACAACGTAGGGGCCAAAGACTGGATGTTCCCTCACTTTGAGAGGAGCCTTTCTCGATCCATTATTTGTATTCGCCAAGAGATCGTGTATCTTTTCGTTATATATTTCGAAATAACTAATTTCTACAGTAGTTTCTACTTGCGTATTGTCACGCGCTTGTGTAAATATTTCCTGGCAAAATCTCGGTATAATACCGACTTTCTCGTCGAATGGCATCGTGTTTAATTGCACGGTTTCTGTGCCCATTAAACTGTAACTTTTTCCAGATCCGGTCTGCCCATACGCAAATAAACAGACATTGTAACCCTCGAAAGCATTTTGCACCAAGGGTAATACCATATTACGAAAAACAATCTCTTGGCTAGCATGACCAGGTATCAATGGATCATCGTGAGAAACAAAGCAATGGTCATACATGAAAGTGTGATGTGCAGATTCACATTCCACAATGACGTTCTGACCATTCCCTTGTACAACCGTCGTAACTTTAGGATCATTTAATTCTCTAAAATTACAAACATTGTGAAATAGAATATTGTTCACTAATATGAAATATAATGAAATAAGATAAAGATTTAAAAAAATAATTAAAAATAAAAAATAAGAATATTTAGTAATAGTAAGAATATTTTCGTCAATAAAAAATTTTAATATGTATACAAACAGTAGTTAATAACTAAGCTTCTTATAATATTTAGTCTTAATTATAAGGAATGAAAAGTAAATATAGACAGTAAAATTCCTTGCACAATGATCAACTATGTTATATCTTACTCACTTGGCATTCAAGGGTCTAATACGTATACCAACTGTGAGATTACTACTTTCACCCTCATACATTGTCTGTTCTCCAACTACTATATCATCAATTTTTTGGGATGGAGTTTCCAAATGAACTGCATTAAAATAGTCTGGGGTACTCTGTGACAGAGCATGATCACTGAAGTAACGTTTCATAGGTGTTCTCGCAGGTAAAACATTGAATTTATTATTGGCACTAGACGTATTCGTTATTCTTGAGTGTTTGGGAGTATAAAACTGTATAACAGATGTTTTGTCATTAGATGAACCACTGATAAATTTTGATTTGATTGGTGTCTTTAGATTCTTTTCTTTAGATGTAGCATTATTAGAGATTGCCAAACTCTCCTGTTTGGCTAGATTTGTAGGTTTTGGACATAATTCTATGTCGGATTTCCTTGGGGGCCCTAAGGTTTCTGCCACTTCAAGTTTCGATGACACCTTTTGTAGAGGACATTGCTTCTTATTCGTACTTTGGTTCTTTGTTGAAGTAGATGGATCATGAGGATATAAATTTTTCTTTCTACAACAAAAATTATTTTATTTTCTTTAATTTTGTTCAATTTTTTAATTTAATGATTATTGTAAGATAGAAAAACAGAATATAAAATTTTCATGACTTAAAAATAAAAGATATATTTAACTTTCAATTTGTATTATATAAAAAAAATGGGAAAATGTTTATATTATTAGATATTCAGCAACAATATGTCATTTATGAAATTTCAATTAATAATACATAAGAATTTTCAAGTCTTATCATGTTACGCATAACGGTTAAACAATATCAAACGACGATGCTTTACGTTTTTATCACCGGACTAGTGTTCTCCTTGTTAGAATTCCTCGGTGATGTTGAGAAGATAGCTTCGCAGTATCCATGACTCGTGGATTTTAAGCTGTGGTGAGACATCCTGGTAGAAATCACTGAAAAAAAGCTATTTGACAAATGCACAAGGAGAATTTGAATAAGTTGAGTGGTTTGAGTTTTATGACCTAACTTTACAAAGTTCGAGGAATAGCCATGGAACATGAAAAATATATATAGATGTGAAATATAATGATGATAATTCACTTTAGAAAAAAGACACTAACTAAAAATCTAGAGATTTTCTGATCAGAATTCTTTCTGAACTTGAGATAGCAACTTGTAATTGGTGCATCATTTTGTCCTTGTTTTTCATCAAATGCTAAACAAAGATAAAATAATACTTAATTTGTATGTACTTGCGTTATTTCTGAAATTGCATTGATTGCATCCATCAAAATGTTATTGATCTAAATTTGGCCCTTCACTTATCACTTGTTTCATTTAACGCAGCTAATAATCTTGACCGTTCATTGATTGCTTGTGCCATATTTATAAAAAATTAAAGTTTTATAGATGACGCTACTTATCGTAATTGCGACATCTTGAGAGCGCGCGATTGCATGCGGTTGGCAAACGGAGGAAGCAGAGAATTAACGGCGGGCAGCGGAGACGAAAAGTGAGGTTAGTCGGATATACGTGGACCACAGAAATGAAGACAGAATGAGGTCTCAGCTCATTCGAAAATCAGATAGAAAGAAAATTGCACACGAAGAAAAAGCACGTATGTGAGTGCACATATACGTGTTTCTTTGTATGTAGTTCTCTCTTCTATTTAATCTTTGATGAGCCAAAATTTCATCCTGGCACTCTTGTACGTGGTTCAGTAGTATGACGTGTTCATGTCATAAAATTTTTATTGGGTATTCTCGTAGATACGCATGTTAACGTCACGTCGACGGGTGAATGCGTCTCGATCGTGCCAACGAAATCTCAGAGGCGATCACGATGATAGAGGATAACGCAGGAAGGGCCACCGTGCACAAATGGATTCTGAAGATAATAACTGTCGCATTCATTATGCTTATCATTTTGAATTTTCCGATGATTTGCGAGAGTCACGATAACCACGAGTTACCTAGTTATAAATATTCAAAAGAAGCGAATGAGATCTATTTAAATGAACAACAACATCAACATCGACAACAATATCAATATCAGCATCATGATCATGATCATGATCATGATCATCATCATCATCATCATCATCACAGTCATAAACACTCACATTCGGCACAAGCAAATGCTCCGCATAAAGATCACAACGATATTATTTTAAGAGCTATCGGATCAACCTTGATTATATCTGCCGCACCTTTCTTCATATTGTTTTTTGTACCACTGGACAACACCAAGCAACGTGAGTCGTTGCTCAAAATCTTGCTGAGTTTTGCATCTGGTGGCCTGTTGGGTGATGCGTTTCTTCATTTGATCCCTCATGCATTGATTCCTCATTCGCATGATTCTTCAGAAGTGCATTCACATTCTCATAATAATAGTGATGAATCGGGACATCACAAACATGACATATCTGTCGGTTTGTGCATATTATTAGGGCTCATAGTATTTTTAATGGTGGAAAAAGCAGTACGTATTATTAAGGGTGATCACAGTCACTCGCATGTTTCTGAAGAGAAAAAGGAAGATGTTTTATCAGAGAAGAAAGAAGAAAAGAAAAATAATAGTAAATCAATTTCCAAGACACCCAAAGCATCTTCATCTGAAGATGATATCAAGATTGCTGGTTATCTGAATCTGGTTGCAGATTTTCTGCATAATTTTACAGATGGTTTGGCTATAGGAGCTAGTTATATGGCTGGGAATAATATTGGTTACGTAACAACATTCACAATATTGCTGCATGAGATTCCACATGAAATCGGCGACTTTGCTATCTTGATACAAAGTGGATATAGCAAAAGAAAGGTAAAATAAAATTATTTTAAGTTGTGCATTCTAACACAGGAAAAAATTAAATTAAATTGTGCAAAGCATTATATCATTGCAAGCAGGGAAAAGTATGAGTCACAATATTTTATGTGATAGCACTTTGTTATTTTTTTATATATATAAAATTCCTTTTCTATTTTTTTTTTAAGTCTAAAAATTCCACAATTTTGAAAACTTTCTATTATCTTGTTTGCAGGCTATGATGTTGCAGTTAACTACTGCTATAGGAGCTTTATTAGGAACTTTTGTTTCTTTATTGGCAGAAGGAATGGGTAAGAAATATATAATTGTAATAGACATTAGATTTTTATTCATGTTTCATCTGATTTTATTTTATGCATTCTAGGTGATTTTGCAACAAAGTGGATTCTTCCTTTTACAGCAGGCGGCTTTATTTATATTGCAACTGTTTCTGTAATACCAGAACTTTTAATTGCTACAAAACTTTGGCAATCGATCATGGAGATCCTAGCACTTCTTTTTGGCGTATATATGATGGTTCTTATAGCAGATTACGAATAATTACAGGATTTTCTGTACTATTTTCACTCATCTTTTTTTTTGCTCATTAAGATTTAGGTTAATTTCCATTACATGAATAGTAGTACAGAAGCGCAAATTTTTAGTGCGCGATTAATGGTAACTGTTGCATTTATGTTCATCTTGATAAAAAATGCATAAGATTTCTTCATAAAAATAGATATTTTTTGTAAAAATAGATTTATTATACAAGAAAAAAACCTTTATAATATCCTTTATTTTTAAGAAAAAAGCTTGGTGTGATTTCGTGGAATATCGAAATGATTTATTAGATATGAATACATTATCACAATTTATTTATAAGATAATGTCATGATATTAATTTATTTAAATATTCGTGTAGTTAAACATTCATATTTGATAATCTATATATTTTGTTATAAAATAATTTTATAACGATATACATACATATGTTCCTGTATATTATCGTATTATTGATTCAAGATAATTTTTAATTTCACGTATATAATAACTATATTTATTGGTAAATAGTTTATTAGATATTTTAGTTTTATAGTTTTATATAATTATATATCAGTTAATGATAAATCATGTTTAGAAGTACTTAATTTATCTCATCTTCATATCTGAGTGCCTAAAACGGAAAATACTATGTGAAAATGTTAAACTAAATATTTGGAGATGAAATAACAGATACTGAAATTACAGATAAATGTAACTTGATGACAAATAGTTTAATGCATAAATTCGAATAAGAACGACTATTTCGTTTATTCTGTTACTCATTACTTATAACAATAAAACGCCTATTCTTATGATTAATCTTATTTTTTTTAATAGAGTCAATATATTCTTTATATAATTATGTTTTTCAGAATGTTGAGAAGAAAAAGATGTCTTATATTAATTAAAATATATAATTAATATACTTTCAATTCTAATACTTGCTAATAAAATATATGTAATGTAACATATGAAAATTGATACAGTGAGTGATAAACAGCTGTACATACATCGTTAGCATATTTTAATGTAAAATAATGCTTTTCAAGTTCATCATATCGTAAAAATTCAAGTAAACTTGTGTATGAGATTATAAAAATTGTTTTCAAAAGAAAATTATACAATGGCGTCATCAGATTACTGTTTACTGTTATAAAATATTTTTCAAAAATAGGAATTGTACATACAGTAATCTGTTATGCATAAAAATATATGTAGCAATTCCATTATTTAATAGATAGAAAAAGTTTTTGATAACATTTCTTCAAACATAATTATAAATTAAAGTTGTACAAAAAATCTGTATTATATAAATATGGAGTGTGTAGCTGAATATATACTCTATATTATCATTATCTGTATCATATTATATATATATATATATATATATATATATATATATATTATGTATTATATATTAT